TTGAACCCTTTGTGTCTCTCTGGGAAGATGTTCTGCTCCTGAATCAGCTGGGTGGGTCTTGCCTCTAGCCTCTTTGCAGGGAGTTCTGCTGAAGGGTTCCCTGCTGGGCCTGCGCTCTGGGTCTGTTCAGGATCCCGCGGCCTGGGTCGTCTCACTCACTCCCCGGGCCTGTGCTCTGGGTCTGTTCAGGATCCCACGGCCCCAGGTCGTCCAGCATACCCTTTTTAATGTTTGCATTAGTTTATATTTTCTACGTGTAACAAATACATTCATCGTGGCATTGGTATATATACACGTATCTCTTGATCACTATCTTAAAGTTTCGATGACTCTTTGGGAGATGAGTTTATGAAGGGAAACTTTTTGATTGCCACTTTGGTTCCTTGCCAACTTGTTGGACTCTCCACACTTACTCTTATTCATGTACCACATTTGAAAATGTATATAGTTGTAAGAATTTATTATCTTCATCTTATTAAATGATAATTTAGTTGTACTTTTCTCTTAAAATATCATTGAATGTTCAGCTTGGGCCATATACTAACTCTTTCTTAGAAATTAAAATACTGATGATCCTTGTAACTTTCTCTCTCTCTCTCTCTCTCTCTCTCTCTCTCTCTCTCTCTCTCTCTGTTTTGCCTTTGCCATCTTCTTGTTACTTCCTGTCTTGTTTATCTTTCCGGTTTGTTTTATTAGTTAATGGTTGTAATTTTCTTAGGAAGTGCTTTGCAAAATGTATTTCTTAAACCTGTATGGTTAATTGAAAGTTTTTATTTCAAACTTTGTCAACCGATTTAAATTATTATTATTATTATTTTATTTATTTTTTATTTTTTTTTTTTGTATTTTAGGACAGGGTCTATAGGGTCTCACTGTGAAGATCCAACTTGTAGTGATCCTCCTGTTTATAGCCTCCCAAGTGCTGGGATTACAGGTGTACACCACCATGCCTAGTCTCAATCGCCATCTCAGCACACCCAGGGGGCAGGGTCAGCACGGCAGGCCCAGGGATGTAACTCCCCACCCCTGTGTCTGCCTAAAGAGGTATTTTAATCCACTAAGCTATTTGGCCAGCCCTGTATTTAAATTAATTTTTATCTACTACAATCAATACCATATTTATATGTTGTAAATGAAGGAAAATCTAACACCTAACAATTTATGTGAAACAAATCTACTTTGGAAGCAACTATTCTCTTTGATTAGTTTAAATATATCTAAAACCACCTGAATGAATATTAAGAAAAAAAATAAAATGAGTCACCTGTACTTTGCATTTCTAAAGTCTGTTAAAATTTGGAATTACAATAGTCTTCCTCTGTAGGTTCATAGATTGTTTCTTCTGTTAACCAGTAGCCAAATAAAAAAAGTCCAGATATCTGGGTAAAAAAGAAAAAGGGATTTTTCTTTTTGAAAAGGAGATTTATTTATGCTGTTTATGAGGTAATAGAGAAGCCTACTTGCCTGCCCCCATCTCTCCATGTACAGGTGGGCAAGAGTCTTTCATAGTAAGGAGTAAAACAGAGAGATGCTATACATCTTCACACACCTTTTATCATTTTTAACCATCTTTAGCTCCATTGTTCCATTCTAGAAATTAAACTAGGCTCCTGGCTTCTAGGTTTCTGCGTGTTTTGCTTATTCATCCAAGATGTGAGAGGAAAGCTGTTCATGCCCCAGGCCTCAGGAAGCCATTTGTCTCCAAAAGAAAAAAAAAAAAAAAAAAAAAAAAAAAAACCCAACTCTTAAAGTTCTATTTTGTAGTGCAGGTTACAACCCCTTGATTATTTTAGTCCTAAACCTTGATGGCCATGATGTGTCCCAGCATCTGGCTGAATGATTCACATTGGATTGCGATGTTTCTTTTGTCAGTGGTACCTGGAGTGTAAGCCAAACCAAGCCAGATGCTTGAGCTGAAAAACTCTTCACTAAAAATTGTGAAGTCAAATAGAGAAGAAAGGCAAAGTCAGGAGATATGTGACCATCACACCTGTTAGAATGGCTTTTTTGCTTTTCAAAAATCATGTAAGATAGCCCCTTTTATTAGCTTGGCAGATCTACATGTTTCGGTAATGTTGCCCCACGGGTGATGTTGGTGCTCGCGGCTCCTCTGCTCTCCCTACCCGCGCCCCATCTGTGAATGTATTTCTTCCTCTCAGAAGGCACTGCCAGTTTACCATCTGCTGCCTTGTCGCATGGGGCCATGGTAACCTTCCCTGGTGATGGTCATTTAACCACATACCACACTGAAGAGGTGTGACGGACGACTGAAGTCAGTTGCTTAATATCTTCTTGCCAAATCTCAGCGATGTCAGAGTTTTAGAAAGAGGGGCCCATAGGCTAATTTTATCTAGAGCCAACTGTCAAAGTTAATCTTGTCTTATTCTCTAGTCAGCAGGCTAAAACCTTAAAACTATGATACAGTTTTGAAATTTATAAGTAGGAATAAAACAAGGCAATAAAAGCAAAACAAGTCCTGTCTGTGTTTGACACTTGAACTAAGACACATAATGACCAAAGAAAACTAATATTTCTGAAGTAAGCTTAGTTTTATCAAAAAGATGAGTAAAGCAAATACAAGTCACCTCTTATAAACTGATGTGAACTACCATTCGAGAAAAAAGCACACAATTTACTACTGCTAAGACCAAGAATTATGACCCTGTAGACCCTGTACTAAATACATTAAAAAATATATAAAAACAAGAAAGATAGAGTGTCGTCCTTAATCCAATTTCATTGTTCTTACATATTCTACTATAAAAACTACTATTTCTTAATAGAATTTCAAAATGTTCATAAATTTTACTTGAAGTTTGTCTATGAAATCAGGTTGAAGTTTCAAAATGCTATTTAAATATAATGACAAAATGAACAAATCAATTTCCCAAATGATAAGTTTAGCAAAGTGAGGCAGGGGAGAGATAATGACCTTGAAGGCGGCTTTCCCAGGGCGAGGCTTATCCACCGCACTCCAGATGTGCTGGCCCCTGTGATTTCCCCAAATGCAGGAAACTTGATCGCATAATTTGTGGTGGGGAGAACTGCGTTTGTGCTCTCTCCTGGAAAAAAAAAAAAAAAAAAAGTCAATGTGAGCAGAAATAGTAAAATCAAACTTATTTTACAAGTGAGGCTGTGTTCAAATTTCTTTAAGTCTCATGAAATTTCACCAAAGATGCATTACATGTTGAGTATCTATACTCTGAAAATTGAACATTTCAAATATTCCAAAATCCGCAACTTAAAAAGAGTACTGACACTAATGTGCAAGTGGCATTATGTATAATAATAAAATTTGTTTCCATGTTCAAGATTATAAAAACATGGTATGACACTGCATTCAGGTATCGTGCATGGGAGGGTATAACAACAAATGATATGTGTTGACTAAGAGCCAAGTTTAGGATATGTGACTATATATACATGTATTTTCAAAAGAGCATGTTCATATGAAGCATGTAAGAAATTCTATATTTAAAAATGGTAAACATTCAATATTTGCTAATTGCTACTCTTGTGGAAGTACTCAAAATACAAATGAATACCATTATTGTGTATCCATTTTTAAGAAATCCTCCAAAATTTTAGTGCATCCGTGATCCAAAATGTTAGAATATATCATCTTATATCATCTTATATTCTCAGTGAGACTGTTATGAAGTATCATATCTGTAGAAATGTGTATAGAGATTTTTTCAAAAAAGTAAAAAGAGCTCTTTCTTGACTTGCAAGATGGCAGGTGAAAAAACTGAGAAGCCAGACACTAAAGAGAAGAAACCCGAAGCCCAGAAGGCTTCTGCCAGTGGTACTAGTAAAAAGGGTAAGGTGAAGAAGGCAATAAAGTCCAAGAAGGGGCAGCCCCACTGCAGACAAAACCCTGTCCTGGTTAGAGGAATTGGTAGATACTCCCGATCTGCTATGTATTCCAGAAAGGCTTTGTAGAAGAGAAAGTACACAGCTGCCTAATCAAAGGTTGAAAAGAAAAAGGAGAAAGTTCTTGCTATGATCACAAAACCGGTCGGCGGGGACAAGAATGGAGATACCTGCCTGGTTAAACTTCAAAAAATGCTTAGATACTACCCTACTGAAGATGTGCCCCGAAAGCTCTTTAGCCACGGCAAGAAATCCTTCAGTTAGTATATGAGGAAACTTCGAGCTAGCATCATCCTGGCACCATCTTGATCATCCTCACCGGGCGTCACAGAGGCAAGAGAGTGGTCTTCCTGAAGCAGTTGGCCAATGGCTTGCTACCTGTGACTGGGCCTCTGAGCCTTACTCATGTTCCTCTATGAAGAACACACCAGAAATTTGTCATTGCCACCTCTACAAAAATTGACATCAGTAAAGTGAAAATCCCCACACACCTCACTGATGCTTACTTCAAAAAGAAGCTGCGGAAGCCCAGACACCAGGAGGGTGAGATCTTTGACACAAAGAAAGAGAAATAGCAGGTTTCAGAGCAGCACAAGGTGGATCAGAAAGCTGTGGCCTCACCGATTTTAGCAAACATCAAAGCTGTTCCTCAGCTCCGGGGCTACCTGCAATTCATTTTTGCTCTGACAAATGGAATTTATCCTCGTAAATTAGTGTTCTAATCTTATAAAAACCTAATTAAATAACTGATACATTTTTTTTTAAAAAAAGTAAAAAGAGAAATCCCATTTTTCACATAGTGGTAGTGCACACCTGCTTTCCTAGCCTGCAGAAATCAAAAGCAGGAGCATTGCCATGAGTTTCAGGTGATCTTGAACTACACAGTGAGTCTAAGGCTAGCTTAGACGGGGTAAAAGACTTTTATTAAATAAAGTAGAAATTTCGGGTGAGACTGTCTCAAAATACAGGGGAAATAAGGGCAAGGTGCAGTACATCAGTGCTAAAACTCGGTTCAGTTTTGAGCACTGAAATAGGTGTGTGCATACATAATGGAAGAATATTCAGCCATGGAGAAGCATGACATAATGTCACCAATTAGTGGGTGGGTCTTGAACCCATAACGTTATGCTACATATGGGAGGCAGAAATGTCAATATCATATTCTATATTATATGGGAATCCCAAAATATGAATTAAGGGGTTAAATAAAGGAGACATGGTAGCAAAGAGAGAGGTAGATTGTTTAGAGAATGTTAAGAAGTTCAGTGGGAGGGAGAGGAAATAGTCATGGAGGAAAGGTATTGAAACTATTTCTATGATTGCCACTTGAATTTAAGGGATTTGCCTTATTCTACTGAATGTTTAATTAAGAACCTTTTCCTCCAAAAAGCTTTGGTAAATGTAAAAATGTATTAGTAATCAAGTCATTTAATCCTTTGTGAAATTATGAAAATAGCATATACCTAATCATAGATTACTGTAAATCTTTCCTATAAAGATAATGCTATCCAACTGTTTGGATAGCCTTTTCTTTTAAATAAGATTTTCCAAGATCCTAGCAGCAATCTTTTACAGTATTAGCTTTTTTTTTCTTTTGTACCAAGTATTAACCCCATTGCTCCCATATACTAGGCAAGCTCTGTTGCTGAATTATATCTCTAGGACTTACTTTGAGACAGTCTCACTAAATTGTCCAGACTAGCCTTGAACTTGCAATATTTCTGCCTTTGTGACCTGAGCAACATGGGCCACTGTGGCCGGCAGCTTTCTTTCTGTAAAGAATGTCTTCTAAGCAAATGTAAAAGTAGGAAAAGTTTCTTAGTTCACATGAGATATTTAGAACAAAAATTTATCAAAATCCTTTGCACATGGTATAAACTTTGCTAAGTAATTTCATGACCTCTACCATAAATACTAGACGCCAATTAATGCAGCCTAATTCTTATGTGCAATATCTTGGTATCTTCAAATAAATAAAAAACAAAATAGCATGTTTTGCAAAGCTAAAAAATAAAAATAAAAATAAAGAATTACGCACATATGCTATACATTGGTTCCTCAAAATGGAAGTGTTATGTACTGCAATCATATCAGTTATAAACTCCCAAGTGTATATATCAACAGTGTTTAACTTTCTTTTTTAGCTTTATAGGAGCTAACAGTTAAGGGCTTGCTGAGTCTCGGAGGGGACTTTGGTTTTGGTATTTTCAACAATGCTGACCCTGCTAAGCCTTTGGCAACTCATATTGATAGACTCAATTCACTTTCTCAAAGGAATTTACATGAGTCTTTGAGGGACTAATACCTCATGAGCTCAAAAGCAAAGTTTATGACAAAGAGTGAATTGGGGCCGGGGAGATGGCTCAGTGGAATAAGCACTTCCCTGGCAAGCGCAAGGGCCTGAGTTTTATCCCTGGTTCCGCCAAAAAAAAAAAAAAAGAGAGAGAGAAAGAGTGAATTATTGGAGCACTTCTGGTGGCTTGGTTTTGTGAAGTAGGTAGGTTGCTGGGTGGAAGATACAGGTCATCTTATCATGTGTGAGTTTGCACAGTAGCCCATGCTGTGTCTCAACATGGTGTGTACTTTTATTTTTGGTTTTACTTTCTTTTTGTTCAGTCCAAATGCAACCAGCAGAGCTTGTTTCTCTCATAACAGTTTACCCCATGCTTTTCAAATAAACTTTTATACCACATTAAAAAACAAAATACAGGTCAATAGTACTAGGCTGCTAGTATTCACGTTTTCTTCCTTTCCCTGTGTGCTTGTCTGACCCTCATGGCGGGAGCAGCTTTCCAAACTAGCAAGGCTTCCACCATGCCACTTCTGTCCTCGGGAGGACTCCAGACTGCAGCATCCACAAATTGCAGTCAAATCTCTCCTCTCAGTTGTGTCAGGTATTGTGTCTCAGCAACAAGAAAGTGACTAAGACAGTCTGTTGCTTCACTGTCCAGGGTTCTTTTTCTTTTTTTATGTATTTAGTACAGGGTCTCAGTACTAGATCAGACTCATAGTGATCCTCCTATTTTCAGCCTCCCAAGAGCTATGATTACAGGCGCGTGCCATCATGCCCAGTCTCAATTGCTTCTCAGCACGCCCTGGGGGCAGGGCTGGCACCGCAGGCCAGGGATCGAACCTCGGGCCCGTGCACTTGATTACAGGCGCTTTAATCTGCTGAGCTATTTGGCTGGCCCTAGTGTTATGATTTAAACAGCAAATTGTAACGTTATTTCATTTCTGAAAATAAAAATCAATACTCTTTAAAAATATATTTTAAAAAAAGGTCTCATAAATTTTACATTGACTTTTGGGCATAACGTAGTGTCAAAATGAAATTATGGAATTTACAGCCTTTCATGTGAAGATTTAGATTGTCCTGCTGGGTATACAGAAAGCTGATTTTGAAGTGTGTGCAATTGTCAGGAAAATTTCCCTCTGATGTCTTTGATTTAATCTTTCATCATTTATTACCTTTCATAATGATATTTAAAATCTGAAAATGTAGAAAGAAACTGCGTAGTATTCTTTCATTGTATTACATGGTCCCTAAAATTAAGCCTTAATGACATTGTAGTAATTTAAGAAAACATGCTCGGTGAGACGACAACTATAAATATTTCCAGCTACTCATAATATTTAGGGAGGAGAATCAGTAGTTTAAATTCAGCTGGTACGATATAAAAGACCTTGCTTCAAAGTAAAAATAAAAAATAAAATACAGGTGGTCAAGGACAAAAGGATAGGTGGAGGTAAAGCAAGGACTGCCAAAATGGAAGTGCATCTGGGACCCAGCCTAAGACAGCCCAGGAAATCACACGTTCCAACTATCCACCTAAAGGAATGGCCCCTAATCTTTTTTATTTTATTTTATTTTTTTAATGTATTTAGTACAAGGTCTACAGGATCTCATGACTCATAGTGGTCCTCCTGTTTTCAGCCTCCCAAGTGCTGGAATTACAAGCTCTCACCACCATGCCAAGTCTCAATCACAGTCTCAGCATGCCCTAGGGGCGGGATTGAACCAGGCCCCAGTGTCTGCCTAAGCAGGCCTTTTAAGTCTGCTGAACTAATCATAATCTGGATATATAAGGGCACAAGGTCTTAGGGACAAAGTCTTTTTCAGACTCCTTACCTTTTCTCCAAGGCAGTTTGTTTTTGGCATCTGTTTTTTTTTTTTTTGTTTTGTTTTGTTTTGTTTTGTTTTTTAAAGGCGGGAGGTTTTAGGTTTTGGGGGTTTTTTTGCTTATAAATACTATAAAGCTTCTATTCCTATACTCAAGTTTTTGATCCGTGATACCTGTTCACCCTGCCCCAACAGTATGGTACCTTGCTTCTGTGTTTTTTGTTTTTTATTTATTTTAGGGGGCAGGGGGTGTTGGGTTTTGTTTTGTCTTTTTGAGACAGGGTCTCATTATGCTGTTCAGGCTGGTCTCGTACTCACTCTGTGGTCTTAAATTGCAATGATCCTCTTGCCTCAGCCTCCTAAGTGCTAGGATTACAGGCATGTACCATCACACCCAGCTGGTACCTTGCTTCTGAATAAGAAGAAAAATCAAAGTTAGAAAATGATTTATAGGCTCACAGACACTGCTATTTTTTCCCCTTTGAACTGCTTCTGTGTAATCTACCCAGTAACTGGTGATGAGCAGACTGGAGGATACCATTGGCTGCTGATCTGCAGCCAGCCAGTCCTGGGCTCAGAACCACTCACAGGGAATCTTGGGACTTGGTAGGGGAGGAATGGACCAGGTGTGAGACCCAGGATTTGAATCTCTGTACGCTGTAACTGAGTAAAGATGAAGGGACGTTCTCAAACCTCTTCTGAAACAAATAGGTTCTAGTGCTGTGTCCACAGGCAGGTGAAACAGAAGAGCAGCAGTCATAAAATCATCTGAGGGTCAGAGATAGAAAACTATCTCCGAGTACGAGGTAGAAAACTGCAGAAGGTAAGAAAAGGCAGGGAAGCGCTGCAGGGCGGGGGTGGGGTGAGAGAAAAGGGGGGGTCCCTGGACAGGGGAGGCACCTCATTCCTGGTCTCACCTGAGTGGAGCAGCCTGGATCTGGATAGGAGGGCAGGTATGCACAGTATCGAGTGACAGCTGAGAAACTGGACTCCTGAGGGGGGTTGAGCTGAGGCGGGCAGAGACTCACCTGCCTGCTGGTGGCCTGTGGCTTTATCTAGGGGCACATTAACTCACCCTTCCATCAGAGAGGGTGCCTGAGCCTTGGGGTGAAAGAGTACCCAAAACAGGTTGGCACACTCATGAGATCAACGTGGTCATGAAAAAGTGTGACCTAGGTGCGAACAGAGACCCAGGCCACTTAGCTGACTTGTACCACTCTCCCCCCACAGGCTTGGTCCCTGCCCACCCTGATGACTCTGTGCTGGATGCCATGGAGGTCCCCGCTTCTCTGCACGTCATGCGGGCATCCTCTCTGCTTCTGCCCTTCCTCAGTTTGCTTGTGCTGGCCTCAGGTAGGGCTGTGGGCCATTTGTTCTGTCCCCTCCTCAGAAAGCAACATCAGCTTGCAGTCCACAGGGAGGAAGGGCCATGGGGACTGGCTTCTGTGGCATTATGGGCATATTCCCTGAGTTTAGATTAGCTCTGCCCATCAGAAGGGCTGCAAGGAAGGCTGCATGTACCCTTGCAGATTTTTAAGTCCCAACATTTTAAAGATTTTTTAAAAACCAGATGAAATAAAGTTCAATAACTTATGTTTAATCCCAAATAACTGGACATCACCGTTACTTAAATACTTAATGTAAAATAGTGCCAATGAAAGTTAATATTTTATGATTCTAAACCTCCAAAGGCCTGTATTGTATATTTATAATTAATTTTAATCAAAACTAGCTGGTGGGTACTGGAGGAGACAGTTCGTGCTGCTTATCCTCCACAAGGCCCCGGGTTATAATCATCTATGATAGAAGTACAGAATTGCTTTGCACCCCCCTGACCCCCGGTACCGGGGATTGAGCTCAGGACGTTGTGTTTGCCAGGTAAGCGCTTATTCACTGAGCTATCTCCCTGGCCTTTTGTGTGTGTGTGTGTGTGTGTGTGTGTGTGTGTACGCGCACGCACGCGCGTGCAGGGTCTCACCACATAGCCCGGACTCATAGTGATCCTCCTGATTTCTGCTTCCCTAGTGCTGGGATTATAGGTGCGCACCACAATGCCCAGACTCCATCACCAGCTCAGTGCACCTGGGGGTGGGGCCAGCACGGCATACAGGCCAGGAATCAAACCTTGGCCCCTGCACTTACCTAAGCAAGCACTTAGTCCGCTGAGCTATACTGCTGGCCCTAAGGCACCAGGCTAGATCAGGAAGTGGAGGAGAAAGCTGTGATAGCACAGAGGGTGCTGGGGTTCTGTCCATGGAACATTAGTAGCCTCCATTGGAAGGGCTTCCACAGGGTGCTGTCCATAGCTAAGGCTCCTGGTCCTCAGAATCCTCAATCCAGGAAGCCTCTGTTGCTTGGGAAGAATTTGTCTACCCCTGGGAGTGTCCACTTACTGCCACCTTAGATATTTCATGACTACAGTCTCCTCTTGATTCTCCTTCCTTTGCACAGCTCAGTTTACAGTCGTGGGGCCAGCGGGTCCAATCTTGGCCATGGTGGGAGAAAATATCACATTACCCTGCCACCTGTCACCTGAGAAAAACGCTGAGGACATGGAGGTGCGGTGGTTTCGGTCTCAGTTCTCCCCTGCAATACTTGTGTATAAGGGCGGGAGAGAGAGGATAGAGCAGCAGATGGAGGAGTACCAAGGAAGGACCACCTTTGTGAGCAGAGACATCAGCCAGGGCAAGGTGGCACTGGTTATCCACAACATCACAGCACACGAGAATGGCAAGTACTGCTGTTACTTCCAGGAGGGCAGGTCCTATGATGAGGCCATCATGCATGTCAGGGTGGCAGGTAAGTCACTTCATTTTGTTCCACTGCCTCTTCCCAGTGTGACTTTTTGGGAAACATTTCTATCCTAACCCTGGGCAGCTATAAGCCAGCCAGTTTCTGTTGCAATCCATCTATACAAGGGAGGTAGCTTCCCTTGTCCAGGGCCTCCCTGAGAGGGTTTGCTGAGCTCAGCTATGGCATTGCTTCCTGAGAGGCACCCAGAACTTAGCTAGGAACTTCAGCGGGGCAATGAGTAATTCCTGAAGCTAATTCCTGGGCAACTGGCAACTTGAGAGGGAGAGAAGCCACATCAGTAACTTCACTGGGATGCCCAGAGGACTCCAAAATATAAGTATCTTATTGATCAATAACTGCTGTTTTTGGACCGGGGAGATAGCTCAGTAGAATAAGCGCCTGCCTGGCAAGTGCAGGGTCCTGAGTTCAATCCCTGGTACTGCCAAAACAAAAACAAAACAAAACAAAAAAGTTTTCCTTTTCTCCAAATACTAAGTGCAGTGACAATGACTAAGAGGTAACTAGGTCACTTCATTAAGCCATGACCATCCGTAGAAAACTTGTGCTGGGCTTGGCGGATCAACAGCAAAAGCAAGCGAGAATTCTGTCAGGAGCAGTCTGGCCAGCTTCAGAACAGAAGTGACAATGAAAATGGGATTTCTAGGGATGTATTAATAATAGCTTTGTTTCCATACTTGGTTTTTTTCTCTGTTGGGTTCATAGGCTACTATCTCATGCTTATTGAACCCCACAGAATATTCTGTAGGACTTTTTCCCCCAATTTGCTAAGTTATTTTAAGTCTTCTTCAAGTTTTGTCTTCAAATGTACAACTAATTCCTCTCACCTTGGAAAAAATTAAATTGAGCAGGAAGCACTAGACTGAAGTGAGTGTTTTGATTTTCTGAATTTTAGGGCTGGGGAGCTGGCTCAGTGGAATAAGCACTTCCCTAGCAAGCACAAGGGCCTGAGTTCAATCCCGAGTTCCACAAAAAAAAAAAAAAGAAAAGAAAAGAAAAAAAGTGCTTCCCTGATTTTCTGAACTTAGGACAATTTGTTTACTACATGTAACAAAGGAAAGGTTGATGATCACTGGACACATGGCTCAGGATAGAAATAGCCCAGGACCCTGCACCTGCAGCTTGTTTACACAACCAGCAGTTTCTTCTATTGTTGTTTATTTTTATTGTAATAAGAAACATATAACATTAAATTTATCATATTAACCTTTATGTTTTTCTTTACAGTCCAGGACCTCAAGCATACTAAGCAAGTCCTCTAATACAGAGTTACATCCCTTCCTCCTTTTTTTTGAGACGGGGTCTCTCACCAAATTGCCCAGACTGTCCTTGAACTGGTTACAGTCTTCCCTTAGCCTTCTATAGTTTGCATTTTAATTGAAGACTCTTTTAATGATAGAATACAGAGGAGTCTGGATTCATCGAATTTTTCTGATGACATAAATTGAGATGATGAGATTGGGGTTTGAAGTATCTCAGGTACATTCAGATCTTTCCAGTAGGAAGCTGTTGTATTATATAGGAAACAATGCAAAAGTCGCCGCATGCACTGAGCACCCGGTGGATAAACACCTCTTTAGTAAGCAAATGGTGAGGTCTGCATGATTACTTTACCCTCACTCCTAAAAGCAGCCACCCCTGAGCTGGACAGCTCTCCACAGTTCCTTTTATTTCACTTGGCCAGGAGAAGGAAACTGTGACAGGAGGTCAAGAGGCTTCTTATAATCGTAGCAGCCTAGCATGTTTCTGTGCTTCAGGAGACTGAAGCCCCTGAGAAAGCCAGGAGCAGAACATGTAGTCCTGGGCATGCCTGTTCAGGCTTGGACCACTGGGAAGAGGCTGGCAGAAGGAAGCGAAATCAAGCACTTGCAGACCATGTATGCTAGGTGGCGCTGTGAAGGGCAGGTGGAGGGCAGCGTGGGACCATCCTTTTTGCTCTCGAAATCTCAGGTTTATTTGGCATACTGGTCTCCTGGCCTCCCCGACCTCAAGGTTCTTCCTTTTCTTCATCTTTCCTCCTCCTGCTTCTTTCTCCCTCTCTTGATTTCTAGTCTCCTTTCCAGAAGGCCCCTACAGAAATGTTTGGTATGTGTGTGTTCAGTTCCTCTGGGTGCTTCCTCTGTTCACCTCCTTTTCCCTGGGGGGCTGCACCATTAAGAGCTGACTTTGTAAGACATGATGGCTGAGCTAACACTGCCCTATTGATTATCTGATCCCTTGTTCTCCCTTCCCAGGCCTGGGCTTCAAGCCCCTCATAGAAATGAAGGGCCACAAGGACGGGGGCCTCTGGCTGGAGTGCACATCTGCAGGGTGGTATCCAGAACCCCACGCAGTGTGGAGGGACCCCTATGGTGAGATCACTCCCTCCTTGGAGGAAGCCTGCACTGTGGACAGAGATGGCCTCTTCACAGTCACCATGGTTGTGATTATCAGAGACTCTTCCGTGAGGAACATGACCTGTTCCATCAGTAACATTCTGCTTGGCCAGGAGCTGGAAACGGTGATTTTCATCCCAGGTTTGTTTTGTGCCCTCTGGAGACTTGTCATGTGAAGGCAGGTGCCTTGGCAAACAGAGGGGAGCTTGTGGAAGTGGGGGTGGGAGGGGCCTGGGCCCTGAAGCACTGGACACGGTTGGGCTGAGACCTTTTCCCTTGTCACAAGGAGCATATGAAGTGCTGCCAAAATACATGAGTAGCAGCCTCTTCTCTGAGGGAAGATCTGGCACTCTCTTTCCTAATAAGATCCTGGTACTACAACGAGTAACAATAAGAATAATTCTGAGAATCTACACCTGTTTGAGCTAGCTGAAGGCCTCACTTCCTGCTCAGGGGATTTCTAGAATATCTACGTGAGCTCATAAATTCACTCAACAAATACGTAACAAGCATTCCTATCATTTTGTTTTGTGAAATTCTATACCATTTATAATCATTTTTTGACATTTTTTTATTCTTTGAAAAATAAATAAGTAAAATAAAATTTTAAAAAAGAAACTGAGAGTTAATCACTGGCATAATATATGAAGATCCATGTTCTCACAGCAGTTACATGCTAGAGAGATAGAGAGTAGTATGTGCCATGATTAATTAAATTAAGTGATTAAACAATTAAATTATTATATCAGAACATGATAAATACTGTAGGAAAAATTATATAAGGAGGGGAAGGGAGATTGGAACATCCCACTTCTCTGGGATATTTCAATTATTAACAGGTTGGTCAAGGGAGAGTTTGTTGTAAATATGGGAACTGAACAGACAAGGGAATAAGACATCAGATACTTGCGAGATTGTGTGACCTGCGTCACAGAGCCGTGTGTGCAAAGGGCCTGAGGCAGGCATGTGTCTGGCAACAGCAAGAATCTCTAGAGGTGACGCTTGTGTGGCTTGGATGGAGAGAGTGCCTTCAGAGACAGTGAGACCACGTCAGAGTAGTAACGTGTGCCAGAGACAGACTTTGGTTTTCAGTGTGAAGAAAGGGGAAGTGTTTGAGTTGGTGTAGTGGCATAGTCACATGGTGTCAGAGCATTGACTGTGCATGGCCAGGGCCACACAAGGAGGAAGGAAGTGGGATATTCTAGACAAAACAATGATGGCTCACACCAGGGTGATGGTTGCGGTGATGTGGTATGACTGGTAAAGGTCACTGACAGTCCCACAGCGACTCTGCTGCTAGTGCTGTCTATCTCCTGGGCTCTGCTAGTGCTGAGCCCACCTCTTTCTGTCCACTGTGTAGCTTCTGGGGAGAAACCATGGGAGGGGGGACAAGGGAAGAGGGTGCTTCAAATCCTGGCATCCTGTGTGTCACTGAGAGGGGCTTTTCTGGTTTTCTTTTCAGAGTCCTTCACACCCAGCCTGTCTCCCTGGACAGTGGTTCTGGCTGTCAGCCTCGCTATTCTGATTCCCTTCATGTCTGGTACAATCTGCCTCATCAAGAAACTCCACAGGGGAAAAAAGAATGAGTCAGAAGAAAAAGATAGTGAATATGAAGAAAGAGAAAATGCACGTAAGAAACTGGGGCAAGAGGCTGGAAGATGGCTCAGTAGAATAAGCGCTTGCCTGGCAAGAGCAAGGGTCTGAGTTCAATCCCTGCTTCTGAAAAAAAAAAAAAAAAAAAAAAAAAAAAACTAGGGCAAGAATGTGTGGAAAAAAGAAACAGAACAGCAAATAAAAGGTAAAAGAGTAGGAGGACAGTTTGCAATCATGGAGGGAGCTCCACTCTGGCAGGCATCAGCGTGGGGAGGAGAGCAGAATCTCCCAGAGACAGCAGCAGAGAGTGGAACTCACAGCCCCTGAAATAAGCCCCCTGAGCTATCCTTCCACCACCCCACCTCCAAGCATTCCCTCGTCACTGAGTTCGTTCACTATCCAGGCCAGCCTGAGGTACCGGACTATAACAAAAGCAAGCCTAAAAGAGCACAGGTGCTATCAGCTACCTGACTGTGTATCATTCTGATTCCTGTATTGGAGGGATAAAGATGTTGACGTTAGAAAAAGGGCCAACCCTTACATCACCTAACATGAATCCAAATTCACTTCCTTCTGCTGAGGACTTTACTTTGTTTCTTTTTCAGAGCAACTTCAAGAGGAGCTGCGTAAGTTTAGCCTTTCCTGCCCTATTCTAGGTATAGTCTGTGTCCTACTTGGGTAGCCATTGCCTTTCTTATGACTTCACCTCCCTATCATTTGCAGGATGGAGAAGAAGCCTTGTACATGCTGGTGAGTGCCTCTGACATTCCCTCTGAGCCTGAGCTTTCTCTCCAATAGCCACCCCTGGGGAGGAGCTGAACAGGAGGCCAGGGCTGGGGTTGGGAAGAGCAGGGAATATAAGTGGTTCTCTACAAGGAATACCCACAGCTTTTACAGTTTACTTGCTACAATCCTTTCCCTTTTTTAGATTAAGTTAATACATGATTACCAGATGTCTTGCTTACTTTTCTCTCATTGCTGAGACCAAAAAAAAAAAAAAAAAACAAAACCAAAAAAAAACCCAAATGAAAGAGGGAGAGGCTCATATAACTCACAGTTTGTGGAGGTTTCAGTCCATACTCAGTTGACTCCAAGGCAGAATGGCACATTGAAGAGGGCAACAATTCATAGTGGCAGAAAACAGCAAGAGAAAAGAAGGAGGAGCAGCAGAAAGCAAGCCTCTTTGTCTCCCTCCTGGAGCATGCAGGCGACCCCCCCAGGCCAGGCATAGCACTCATACGCAGCACTGGACCATGGATCAAGCAAAAACTAGAAGCCTCCCCCATGACTGTACGAGGCTTGGGGGGACTTCTAGACATGGATGAGGACACTGGAGTTCTTTGTTATAGAACAGACCTCCTCTAGAGTTACATGTTAGTAGTTGTTGCTCTTCAATCCTGGGTTAATTTGAAAGAAGACGTGTTAGCTAGTTTATAACCCAGAAGGTGGTATAGACTGCCCAACTGAAGTTGTAGGAGAGTGGAAGGAGACAGTAAGTTTCTCCACATATGACTTAAGGTTGCATAATCTGCTATCCCAGAATGCCTTCCTGCTCCCAGGAGAGCACTGGTTCTCCATGAACAGTCTGGGGAATGCAAAGCATGCAAAAGGGAGACATGAATCCATGTGCCTACTCTTAAGGACCACCTTGCACTTGATAAGTTGTCACCATCAGCACAAAGCAGCAAATAACATCTATTTTACCAAATACCATGCCACATGGGCTTTTCTTTTTAAAACAAATGTCAACATTGTCACAAGTAACCTAGGAAACCATCTCAAGTTGCCACAGTCAGATATATCTCGAGGGAGAAATGAGGAAATCATTTTAATTTTTTTTTGGGGGGGGCAGGGCAGAAACAGGGATTGAACTCAGGCCCTTGCGCCTGCCAGGGAAGCGCTTATTCCACTGAGCCATCTCCCCGGCCCCAAGGCTAGGAAATCATTTTAACAGAGTAAGAAAAGTAGTAGGCTAAGGCAAGAGGACTGCTGCAAGTTTGAGGCCAGCCTGGGATGCATAGTGATTTCAAAGTCAGCCTGAACAACAAAGCAAGACCTTTTCTCCACCACACACACATACACTGAGCAGACAATATTAAATGCAGATGGGAGAGAGGGACCTGAAGCCTATCCTGTTCCCAGACAGGATATCCCTGTAGGCTTCAACCTATATTATTAAAGTAAAGCTGGATGGAAATATCACACACACACACACACACACACACACACACACACACTTGCCATACCTCTTGGGTAGCAGGTTGGCTTTGGGGGACATCTGTCCCCTTATTTACCCTCTGTCAGTCATTTAACTGAGTTGTTACCTGGCCACTGGAGTCCAGTGATAAGATCCCACAGTCACCAGACACCACACAACCTACTTTAACTCCTTTACTGATTCATGGTTTCAGGGAGCAGTGAGAGTCTCTTTGTTGTTGTAAGACAAGTTGGATGGTTTCTAACCAGAGAAGGATCCAGAGATCATATGCTATACCGTGTATACACAAGGGGGCTGAGAATTCTGAGAAAATAGGAACCATTAACACTGGCTCATTTGCTAACCTGTCGTGGTTCCCGAGAGCCTTGATTTTCAGTTACATAGAGAGACAGAACTGCAGCCTCAACAATTCCCGATCTGAGCTGCCTGGGATCAGAGGGTCTTCATGGAGAAGCTACCACATGAAGAATGTGCTATCTGTTTTCTGGGGATTGAGGAAACTGCACTAAACTAAGGCTTTTTCTGCAGCCGATGTGGTTCTGGACCCAGACACTGCTCATCCAGAACTCTTCCTGTCAGAAGACAGGAGAAGTGTCCGCCGGGGCCCCTCCCGGCAGAGCCTGCCTGACAATCCAGAGAGGTTTGATTGCCGGCCCTGTGTCCTGGGCCAGGAGAGCTTCTCCTCAGGGAGGCACTACTGGGAGGTGGAGGTGGAGAATGTGATGGTATGGGCCATCGGGGTTTGTAGAGATAGCGTTGAGAGGAAAGGGGAGGCCCTGCTGCTTCCCCAGAATGGATTCTGGACCCTGGAAATGTTTGGAAATCAGTATCGGGCCCTGTCCTCCCCAGAGAAAATTCTTCCCATGAAAGAGCACCTTTGCCGTGTGGCTGTTTTCCTGGACTATGAAGCTGGAGATGTTTCTTTCTACAACATGAGAGACAGGTCACACATCTACACATGTCCCCTCTCAACCTTCTCTGGGCCTCTGAGGCCCTTTTTCAGACTGGGTTCCGATGACAGCCCCCTCTTCATCTGTCCAGTGTTCACAGGGGCCCAGGGAGTCGTCATACCTGAGGGTGGCCTGATTCTACACAGGCCAAGGACCTGCCCACATCAGGACCAGTTCTCTGGTCTCAGAGCCATGTAAGAAAGCCATGATCTTCTCTGCTACCATGGCACTTCACCACCTTCTTCCCTTTAGTCACAGGAGAGAGTATCTTCTACCTGCCTCACACCTAGCTTAGGCCCAGCCCAGTCCTCCCCCTCTGAAGGCCTTAGTGGCTATGCTGGTTGGAGCAGGCTGAGTATTCTTAGAGAACGGCAGAAGTTACACAGCTTGAAGCTGGAGAGAACATGTGAGAGGGCAATGGACAGAAGTAGTGATTTGATACCAGGGTGAGGAGGTTGAGCCAACTGGTACACTATGAACATGAGCAAGAACTGTGGGAAGTACCAGGATGTGAGAAGCGCATAATCTCCAATGTGGAAGACGATGACAATAACACACAGAAGTGGACCAGGACCCAGACCTGGCATGTGAGTGGAACCACCAGGGGCCTGCTGGATCCTCATTCAACCCAGAGTCCAGGCCTGGTGTATAGGCCCAGTGTGGAACCCTGCAGCAGAACTCCCTGCAAAGAGGCTGGAGGCAAGACCCACCCAGCTGATCCAGGAGCAGAACACCTTGCCAGAGTGGAACAGCAGGCTCACTTCCAAGGGCTGCAACAGGAAGAAGTGGAGCATAGCAGCCAGACCCAAGCCACACCCACCTGGATGAGTTTCAACTTGATAGATCTGGACCTGGTGCTGAGGTATTAACTCTATCTAAAGTCTATACCAGGGGCTGGAGAGATGGCTCAGTGGTCTAAAGCACCTACTTAGAACAAGCTTAGCAAAAGCATCAGGGACCGCGGTTCAATCCCCCAGCA